TTTCAATTTTATCATGTTTCATATTGATTGATTTTCTAGGAAAAATGTGACACTCTGACTGAGTATATTAAAAGGCTGAAACTTTGTATAAAATGGTTCCAAGAGCTTGAAGGAAGCTACCTGTTTGAGCGCGAGAAGTTACAGAATAGTGTTGAAGTGTCAGAGCGTCAATGCAATGACATGGGTATGAGTGACATCTTTTTGTGTTCGTATTCTCAATGCAGTTGCTGAAGAAATTAATTATATTTATTTTGATTATAGGGATCTTATTCAAAAACAAGGAAGAAGAATTGAATTCAATCATTGCGGAGCTGAGAAAAAATTTTGCTTCTGTACAAGAGAAATTTACAAAAGAAGAATTGGATAAGATGGTAAGTAGGGTGGGTCGGATATCCAATGTGTCTGATTTTAGCTGACTGCTGTAGATTATTTAACGTTCTTGTACACGACAATCAGACTGCAATGGAATCTCTCACTAGAGAAAGGGAGGCTAGACTTGAAATTGAGCGATCACAAAATTCCCTCTCGGATGAGCTTGGGAGAGTCCAAAGAGAGCTCTCAAGTGCTAATCAGAAGGTGAAGTAGAATATCTATTCCTTTACTTCTTTTCCCTCATTATTGATAAGTATAGAGTTTCCTTATAAATATTTTAATCTGAATACTTTTCTTTTTGGAAATTCCTCAGATAACTTCACTGAATGATATGTACAAACGATTGCAAGACTACATTGCAAGCTTGCAACAATATAATAGTAAACTGCACATGGACCTCTCTACAGTTGAGGAAGACCTTAAGCGCGTAGAGAAGGAAAAGGCTAGTATGGTGGAGAACCTGAGCATGTTAAGGGGTCAACTTTCAGTGTCCAGGGTGAGTTTCTTAGTATGAACTGTTTCTAGTTGCATACTGTAGTTCCCTGATGAAGTATCTAGAGAAGGAAAAACGTGTAATGATTATATTGTTGTTGAATGTGCTTATCAGTTGCACTTTTAAGTTTTGACTAAAGACCAGATATTGCACTCCCTTAGGATTGTATCCTGCCTTCATTGGGAATGATGATGTTGTAGATGGTAGAGGTCTTTCTCCCTTTATGTTGCCAGTAGGCCCTAATAGGCCTTTCATGGAGGGCCTTTTAATTACTGACTATATTTTTGAGAAACTTTTTGCATTCAAGGGTCTAGAAGAATTTTTTTTTCCCTTTCCAATATAAATTCAAGTTTTAGGGAACAATCTTGTAGTCAACTTTATTGTAGCACCGATAAGACAGTTATTATTATTTGTAGTCGTGACCTGATTTTCGTCAGCGCATTTTTTAGCTTGGTATAAGGAATGGATCAAATAGTATGTAATCTAAAAGTTGAGTTTCTTCCTGTGTTCTCTCCTTGCTTTCCTTTTGAAATTGAGCCGTCTCTAACTTTTATTTGATGGATGGATACAGCAATCTCAAGATGATGCTATAAAGCAGAGGGATTCTTTGGTAAATGAAGTTGCATGCCTTCGGATGGAGTTGCAACAAGTGAGAGATGATCGTGATCGACATCAACTCCAAGTGCAGACTCTAACAGCTGAATATACAAAGTATAAAGAGTCGACGGAAAAATCTTGTTTTGACTTGGATAACCTCACATCAAAAAAGGACGAACTGGAGGTTGTTTATATAATTCTATCTTTTTTCTTATGTAGGTTTTGTTTCTATTAACTTTTGCTAACATATTACAATGCTGGGTATTCTTCAGGAAAGATGTCTGTCACAAAGTAACGAGATAAGGACTTTGAAGGACCAACTACTGACTGCAGAGAGGAAACTACAGGTGATAATATCTGGTTATTATATGTTGCATGGACTATGTATGACATATGGGTTATGTACACTTTCGTTTTGGAATGAAATGGTTGAACCAGCTCATCATGTTGGTTAAATTTTCTAAGTATAACTATGTTTCTGCTAGATGTCCGACTTATCTACACTGGAAACAAGAGCAGAATATGAAGGGCAAAAGAAACTTATAAGTGAGTTACAAACTCGCCTGGTAGATGCAGAATTTAAGCTTATTGATGGAGAGATGCTGCGTAAAAAGTTGCACAATACCATCTTGGTAAATCTTCTGCGATTGCTTTTATCAGCTACTTTGTCTGCACCATACTAAATCTCTCATTCTGTAGGAATTGAAAGGGAACATCCGCGTATTCTGTAGAGTGCGACCTCTGTTGGCTGATGATGGTCCTAGCACAGAAGGGAAGGTTATCTCTTATCCAACAGCAATGGATGCTCTCGGACGGGGCATTGATTTAGTGCAAACTGGTACATTACTTGGAAAATAGTAGTAGATAACAAGTCTTATTCTTGCGTGTTTTCCTGTGCTCTTTGTTAATCAAACTCACATATTGTCTGCATTTGTCATCAGGGCAAAAACATTCTTTCACATTTGACAAAGTTTTTATGCCTGATGTATCACAAGAAGATGTATTTGAAGACATTTCGCAGCTTGTACAAAGTGCTCTTGATGGTTATAAGGTGATAAAAAGCTTGTTGTATTCTTTAAGTCACTATTGCATTTCATGCCAAGCAATTCATTTAATGTCTAATTAAATTAATTTTGCCTTCAAAGCTGTCTTGTTAGTTTTGGTAGAAAGCCTTAAAATTCTTAGTGTCATTTAAAATTTATTTTGATAAATATGTGAAGCTTCTTAGAATGCACATTTCTCTTGTACTTTGTTATAATATTATCCCTTAATTTTTTGTTATTATGGGTTGATAACTTGAAACTTTCTTTTTATAATATACCTATATTTAATATACCCCAGGGTATCACAAGCATTATGCACATTTAGCCTGATGATAGTGGCTTCTTGTTTCAGGTTTGTATTTTTGCCTATGGACAAACAGGATCAGGGAAAACCTATACCATGATGGGTAACCCAGGAGATCCAGAGGAAAAAGGGCTGATACCCCGTTCACTAGAACAAATTTTTAAAACCAGACAATCACTTCAACCACAAGGTTTACCCCGTTCACTAGAACAAATTTTTAAAACCAGACAATCACTTCAACCACAAGGTGGGAAATATGAAATGCAGGTGAGTGGAATCTCTCTCTCTCTCTCTCTCTCTCTCTCTCTCTCTGTGTTATTCTAGTTATGTGAATGTATATTACATTGCATTATTTTTATATGTAATTTTCACTTATTTTGACAATATATGTAGGTGTCGATGTTGGAAATATATAATGAAACTATTCGTGATCTATTATCACCAAATCGATCATCTTCAGATATGTTACGAACAGAAAATGGTATTGGTGGAAAGCAATATACGATCAAACATGATGCAAATGGAAACACTCATGTATCCGATCTTACCATTGTGGATGTGCGCACTGCTAAAGAGGTCTCATTTCTCTTAGAGAGGGCTGCACATAGCAGGTTGTATATCTAAATACTAATTCTCTTTTATTACCTCCTGTAATCTTGACTGACATATCCTTCCATGCTTGTTAGTTTTGTATTCTTACTCCTCTTTTGTGCATGTTTGTATATCCTTTCTGAACTTTCCCTAACGATATGCTTGACATTGGGGATATAACTCTAACTCAATGAATTGGAAATGTTGATATTATTTAAGGAAGAAAATTGCTTTTGAAAGAAAGGTGGGCAACTGATCCACATACATTATAAGGGATGTTTTTACTTGTACTTTTTCTCGTTGTCTATGTAATTTAGTACTTACCAAGCAAAATGAAAGGAGAAAAAAAAATGATTTACTTATCTTCTACTTGGTTCCTGACAGGTCTGTAGGCAAAACTCAAATGAACGAGCAATCGTCAAGAAGCCATTTTGTCTTCACACTACGCATATCTGGTGTCAATGAGGTAGCAACATCTCTTTTATGTATAAATACTCTACTGTATTCATGTGCTAATATTTTCACTCTGTCCTTTTCATATTTGTATTATTGTGCTTACTTTTCTTAACTTACCCTCTCATCTTAGAGTACTGAACAACAAGTACAAGGTGTCCTCAATCTTATTGATCTTGCCGGGAGTGAACGACTTTCTAAAAGTGGGTCAACTGGGGACCGACTGAAAGAAACTCAAGTATTTTACAGAAACCTTCATAATCTATTTTGTTTATATGTTCTCATTTTTATTTTATTTTTAGTAATTACATGTATGTATTTTTATTTTATTCAGGCCATCAACAAAAGTCTCTCATCTTTAAGTGACGTAATATTTGCCTTGGCAAAGAAGGAGGACCACGTACCATTTCGGAACTCAAAGCTTACATATCTTCTTCAGGTTGTTGTTTACATGTTTAAGTGATATACGAAAATGATTTAAGTTTATTTTTGGAGCATCCCATCCCATATGTTCTTCTTGAAAGGCCTGAAATTTCCACTCATAAGAAGTTTCCTATAGTTAAATCACACTTGAATCGTAAAAGAATTTAGTTCTGTTATCTTGGCTGTTGAGTGTTAACAAAATCCTGGTTGCTGTTTTCATCTTTATTTTTATTTTTGGATTATTGAAGACATTCTAAACTCTTAAATTGAATGTTGACCAGCCATGCCTAGGAGGAGACTCAAAGACATTGATGGTCGTAAACATCTCTCCTGAGCCCTCTTCAGCGGGTGAATCACTCTGTTCACTTCGTTTTGCTTCACGAGTAAATGCTTGTGATATTGGAGTTCCACGACGTCAGACCAATATGCGCCCTCCAGATTCACGTTTGAGCTACGGTTGATCTTTGATCGAAGGTTTCTTTTTGATTTGAAGTCACCAGTGATTTGTATCTGCACCAATCGTATCATAAAGTGAAAATTTGGGAGTGATTCTAACATAGGCTTATCTGTATAGTGAAGATAGTGTATTTGTATCACTAAGCTGAGAGAATTTTCTATTCTAACTAGTGATTGTATTGAGCTTGATTTCTCAATAACATTTTCCTCTTTAATCTTCTAAAGTAATGCTTGATTAATTCTTTGATGTTGTCGAGGTAAAAGGGACTAGAAGCAAAAAATAGAGTGCATTCTCATAGCGATAATCTTGAAGGCTCATACCTCAGCCTTTTTGTCATGTACAAGTTATCTGCTTTTACATTTGCAAATTCAATATGACAAAGAGTGAACTTTGAAACTGATAGAAATGTGCAGTTCAACTAATTTTGCTCTTATCAGAGGGACATATTTGGAGTTTCATGCCATTCGATCCATGACCTCCTGGAGAATAACTGTTGTGTCTTTATAATACGATTCAGTCTCAGATAGGTTGCGTTGCTTCACAGCGCCATCAAGCTGTTGACAGAAAGTAAAAGGAATTCTCAAGCAGCTGCATGGAATCTAAACAATAAATTATGTGTTCATTTTGATACCTTTTCTACGGTGTCGAACAATCTATTAGCAAGATCAGTGAGAGGTTGTTTCTCATCGACTGGTGCTGCAGAGATAACTTGGTCGAAATCAAAGTACATGAATGTGGATTTTAGCCGCAGGAACCGTCTAACATAGTTTAGGGTATCTTGTGCAATCAAATCTGCCATTGCCAGGAGATCAAATGCATACTTCTTAAGCCTAAACTTCCTCCCTTTGGTTCCAATGTTTGCCATGTAGAGTCCCTTTTTCAGAAAAGAACGAGTCCCCGTCTTCTCATTTGCAATTTCTGCCACGAAAACATGGGTTGCAGGTAAAGAAAAGTTCGGCTGAAATCTTTGGAAACAAGTTAAGGCTTGAAGCAGCTTGGAGTGAATGACAATGTAGCAAATGTTACAACACTTAACTGCTCAGTAGGAAAACTTACTATTTTCAGCAGAAGGCACGGGCAGAGGGCCGTCGATCCAGAACCCGTTGCCCTCAGCAAGAGAGACTCCATTGCAGGAGTTCCCAACAAGTGCAATAGAGGCAAGGCCTAATGCTAGTCTTCTTGTAGTTTGTAGTGGCTGTTCCTGAAGATCATCTCTTTTCTTGCCTATAAAGCCAACAATGCTCACTCTCTTTTGGGTCCTTTGTATGCCTGGAAGCCTTGGTATGGCTGGCAGTGTTTCAGATACTCCATTTAAGTTTGCCAAATGAGCCATTGTACAAAAATTGGCTAAGGAAATGGTAGGCTTGTGCAAGCAAAAAGATTGGGTTGGCAAGAATTTCAGCTATATCCTTTTGGAAATTGCAGGCTAATACTGACCACCAGAAGGATATCCTCTCAAGGGATAAATTGGTCATTATACAAGGCCCAATCATTTATGCATAGGAGTAGCCCAACCCTCTGTGCATCAGCCCACATTGAAACTTATAGTCATCAGGGAGCTTCTATAATGAGGAGGTTGAGTGAGGAGTTTATTTGAGGAGCCCCATCTCACCATCAAAAGGGGTGTGGACCCCCCAATGCACCCCCCCCATGTGCTTTGTTTTTAGTTGTTAATGGTGAGATTTCACCTCCTCAAATAAGCTCCTCACTCAACCTCCTCATTCTAGCCTCTCCAATAGTCATCATGCACTTCTTGAAGTGAAATTTCTTTGTTATATTTTATACTGGAGAAGTGTATAATGACTTTCTTATGGTGCCAATAATAACTCGCTATTCTAGTGGCTAGGGATGGCAGAAATCCTCACGGGGGTGGGTCCCCGATCTTAATGGGGAGAGATTTCAAGGGAAAACGAGTATGTACAGGGATTCTCAAATTTGAAAAATCCCCGATGGGTATGGGATGGGGATGGTATTGGCGTCCCCGTTCCTGAACCCGACCAAAAAATATATATGTTTATATTTAAATAAATAAATAAATAAATAAATAAATAAATATTTATAATATTTATGTTTAACCCTAAGTTAAACTCCCTCTCCTAATTCTTCCTAATTTTCTCTGGGATTTCATATTGATGTGATTTTGAATAGTTGAATTGAACTTTATAGTTAATTTGGATGTGTTGAATGATAATTTAATATGAAACTTAATGTTAAAATGTATGATAAATATTTTTTATGAAAAAAAAATCGGGGATTTGGGGCGGGTATGGGGGATAGTCTCTCGACGGGGACGGGGATTCCCCGAAACTTATTAAACGGGGATGGGTTCAGGGACGGGGGCAGGGATGGAGAGTGGGGACGGATGATATTGTCATACCCGGCCCCTACTCGACCCGTTGCCATCTCTAGTGGCATGAAAAAAAAGGAAAAAACAAAAAATTCAAGGTGTCATTAAGAAAGATCCTCAAAAAATAAAAAATCAAGGCGTTATAATTTGACAAAGACATGGGTCACGGGTGGGTTATATTCGAAGGGTCTTATCAACTTGTTTGCCAATACAATTATACAAGGTGTGTTGTCTCTACATGTTTAAAATATTTTGACTAAAACACAAGTATATCTTGGCTTGGCTCAAAAAGTTCCCAGAAAAAGTGAACTACTACGAAGAAAATAAAACTTTTTCTATCCTTGAAAATAGTTGCTGGGTTCCTATCTCTGCATCTAATTATTGATATGCAGATTGATTGAAAAATAATACCGGAAATGGTTGCATCTCTTCTCCTCAATTGTAAACACAAGACGTGTATGCAAAGAAATGCATGGGTTCCTGTCTCTTCATTTGTTGAGGTTTTTTTTGGTTGCATCTCTTTGTTTTCTTCAAGTTTGAAAGCTCGTTTAAGTGGTGCCACACATATTTATGTTTACTGATAGACAGATAGATTGATAATAACTTCTTGGACTGTGGATCAAGACCACAATAGCTATTGACAGTTTAGTAATATAACATACTATTATGCTATTAAAAATTATCACATATGAGATGCATTTCAGTTTCCGATATATATGTACAGATTTTCTCCTACATGGACATTCAGATGTTATTACCGTGGCAGCAGCACGGTAATAACGTCCGAATGTCCACTTAGAAGAAGAACTATATATATATATATATATATATATATATATATCATATTGTGTTGTATTGTTGTATCCTCTTAACATCTTATGTTAGTCGTGTTTGAATGTATATCACCGTGTCTTTTCAATTCACAATTTGTCTACAAAGCATACCTAGATAAGATTGTTGTGGTTTCTATGTAGTTCATATCCTTAATTGACTTTTTTTTAATAATATATCTGTAGATGTTGTGCTTATGGTTAAAATATGTCATTTCAGAACTTCATTTCGTTTAACTTACATAACCTCTAAAATCTCCCCAAGTCTTAGACCCTAAAACGACGCCATTTTTATTAACGTTAATTAGAGAGGCAAGCCCTTTTTATTTTTACTTATTCGGAGAAGAAGTATAGCCCTCAGTGGGCAGTCCAGCTCCAAACCTCTATATAAATTGCACCATCTTTCCAGAAAAAAAAGAAGAACAAGGAGGAGCTGGGTAGCTAGGAACAACTAAGATATATGGATGTGCATGATCAGCAGCAGCTCAAGAAGCCAAGGGTTGTCAGAGTGAACTCTGAGGAATTATGGGATTTCTTTATCACTCAAGCTGCCGATCAAGGCTGCCCTGTGAGTTTATTATTATTATTATTATTTATTTTGTCTTTGTTTATGTTAATTTGCTTCCTTACCATATTTTGGTACTTAAAATACTGTGTTAATAATCTATATTGTTCTCAGTTTGAAACTGAGTTTGGGAAAATGGAGCTTGGTGTAATTTGCTTGACTTGAGATTATTGCAGGTGATGGTGCATTTTAATGCTGCCTGGTGCATGCCCTCTGTAGCCATGAATTCATTCTTTGAGGAATTGGCCTTCAACTACCACGATAGAGTTAAATGCCAAATTACCCCCCAAACTTGTATCATACTTTCGATTTGCTCCCCATTTTTTGTTGCTGGAAAATTAAGGATATGA